TTCTAGCAGTTAATGTTTTTTTAAGTTACAAATTTTTATTTGCCATATTGCGCTTTTTGAAATCAATTTGATTATTTTTCAAAGTTAAATTAGACTACATTAATTTGATATTTTAAACAAAAATTTTAGATATTTAAAAACTATACGAAAAGTACTATAAATTGCAATTTCTTGCATATCAATATGATGAAAAAATACATCGTAAAATGTTAGTCAAAGTTCTTATAGTTTGACTCTAAAAAAAGAAACTATGACAATTAAAAATGGACGAAGAGAGTGTTTATTGCCAAAAAAGAAGAAGAAGGAATTTCTAATGGCTGATGAAGATTAGAAGGAATGGGTGTGATTTGGGGGAAGAGTTAAAGGGATAGATATAGTGCGAGAAATTTAGGCTAGATATAGTGTAATTGAAATTCTCTCTCTCCTCTCTCGATGTGTGCGCGCGCGCACACGTGTGCATATGTGTGTGAGAGAGATATTTTCTCAAAGACCCATTAGAACAATCAAATATACTTCTGAATTATATCAAATGGATCAATTTTGTATTTCGTTATGTTTATGGCTTAAAATGTTCACATTACATTTGTGGCTCTTAAAAATACACTCCAACTAGCAAATATCTCAAAATATCTTTCTTACTAATAATTGATCTAAAATAAAGGGAACTGGATCAATTTTGCCCTTGAAATTACACAAGATGTCACCCAAACGTAGTGGTCTTGATTTTTTGTCCCCCATAAGAAAGTGTTTAAAGAATGGTCTTTCTCCACTTTAAGTAGGGTAAAAGTACATTTTTTCTCCTCTACACCTCAAATGTTTTTAAACAACTCTCCATGCTCAATTGTCTCTCAATTTTTTTAAAATTTTTTTTTGGAAAAAGGGTTCAAAATATATCTGAACTTTGATCTAAATTTTTGTAACAATCCCAAATTTTGAGCATGACCTATTACCCCTGCACTATTTGATAGTGTATTTTAAAGATATATAGGTGCTCACGTGGACATCATAAATATTGTATTATTATAAATAATAACTTGTCCAGCTGGGCACTTATATATCTTTAAAATACACTATTAAATAGTGCAGGGGTAATAGTTTCTGCCCAAAGTTTGAGATTGTTACAACAATTTCGATCAAAGTTCAGTTATATTTCAAACTTTTTTCCCTCTAAATATGATATCACACACATTTTCGTACATAACTCTACAAATAATATAATTTTAAAAAAATCTAATTCAATTATATCTTGGTATGTCATATTACTTACTGTAACTTTAAGTCATCCCATGTCTTAGTTGAAAATTGATATAATAGTTTAAAAAGAAAACAACATAATAAACATTTAATTGAAAATTAATGCATATAATTAAACTTTGTATAAAACATAAAATTGATATTATATAAATTTGTCATTTAAAAAAGTCAAATTAATTTTATAAACTTCAATATAAGTTTTTGCTAAAACCTTTACAATTAGACGCATTTGTCCCAAATTTCAAATGAATGACAAAACTGTCCTATCATATATAAAAGAGAACCCTAGGCCCGCCTACGTGGCGCCACCATAAGCTAGAATTTCCTTTTAAATTTATTTATTTCAAAAAATTGCCTTCCCCTTTCATAAAAAGATGCTACTTCTATTAAAAGTTGTGACTTTTATGAAAAGTTGCGACTCTTATGAAGAGTTACGACTTTTATGAAAAGTTGTGACTTTTATGAAAGGTTGTGACTTTTTCAAAGAGTTGTGACCTTTCCGATAAGGCACAATAAGCATTTATTCACAATACCCTTTGTTGTCTATAAATAGAGGGATTTCCTCTCATTTTAAAACAACAAAAAATTTAAACTTCTTCTTCTTCTTCTTCGTCTTCTTCTTCTTCTTCGTCTTCTTCTTCTTCTGCACAATTAAACATTCGCGTACTTTGCTCCTGTTGAGTGGCTCACTGACACCATTGCTTTTGTATCAATACACTGGTGAATAGAATCATTCTATCCTGAGAGGATCTATTCCTTTAAATCTCGGGTACTAGAGGAGAATAATTTCCTTAAGGGGACAATTTGCATTCAGTTGGCTCGATTTTTTCCTTTCTATTTCATTCTATTGTTATAGATCCTGAAATGTTTTTTTACAGTCATTAATTTATGCTTATGTTATTAATTGTTGTTTCTGAATACATGTTTTAAACTTTGTGGTTTATGCTTATGTTTTTTATCATTATGTTGAAGTAAAGACATGTTAAGCAAGAGTTCGATGTAATCATTAGACTATTGGTGTCATGTTTATTAGAATTCTTAAACTTGAAAAATAAATGACTTTGATCTTTATAGAGTTTTCAGTCGCTAAAAGATCCATGGGATGTCCAAGAAGGGAATTTTTAAGTGTTCAGAAGTTATGGTGGTTCCAAACTACCTTGGAGTTTTAGTTATTTAACTTTCTATCTTATCAAGGCATTCAATGGATTAGTGAAATCCAAAAAATAAAGGAATGTAGTGGGATGGTAAGTATTGTACTTAACCTTAATCAAAAGTTTGGGGTTCAAATGTTGGATTGGAGTCAATGAATTACCCCTCAAAATAGGATGAGTCCATATTAATCAAATATTAAAAAAATAATTATCTCCTTATAAACATTAGATTAAAAGTCGCAAAATAAATGAAGTTTTAACCATATTGATAGAAACATAAACAACAAAATATGACTTTTAGTTATCAAAGTAGTGTCATCAACCGCGAATGATTTTGCATAAGAGACTTGCCAAGACATCATTTAATCCAAATTATTTGAGCGAACATGCGTTATTTCATTGAACTTCAGGAGATGTGTTGTTAAACTTTAATTAACTTATCAAGTACACAACTAATTATATAAGATGTATAATATTTAGATTCTGTATGTAGAGGCCTTGAATAGGAGAAAAACTCTCGCAATTGATGAATAAAATGTTTGTAACACTTTTTGAAAATACAAATATAGACAATGAAACAATTACATATCTTTTCTGAAGACATTGGTGATGAATAACTACAATAAAATGAAGAATTAATAACAAAATGCATAAACACTTAGAATCAAATCTTTTTGGTTCTAAGATTAAAAACATATTTCATTTCATCTTTAGATAAAATATTCTTGACAATTTATAGTAGGGTTGTACCACTCGAAATCACTTATATTATCAATATTTCATAAGTAGATTATTGACGTAGTTCACCACCACGTGAAGCACGGAAAATTTACCTAGTTTCTAATAATTCAAAAACAAAATTTGACCCTTTATTCTTGTTTTGGAGCATCCGTTAATAATAAGTATATTTTTGAATTATTTTGCTAATTGAAAGGCATATTTGAACAAAAACGTAACAACATGGGCATTTTTTTAGGCAAAAACGTAACAGAGGATTAAACACTCATTTTGAATAATTCAAGGGTCCGACTTAATTTGGTCATGTTTGACCACATAAGAAGCGTTATTCTTTTAAAAAAGAAACAAAAAAATTAGTCTTCCAACAAATCCCAGTTTACATTATTTGTTCAAGAAAAAAGTCTTCTAGAAAAATTCAGAGCATTAGAGGAACTCCTCTTCTTGGACAAAATGATCAAGGAATACTTAGAAACACATCTCGAAAAGTTTGAGATAGAAATCCATAAAGAAATGATCCAATTAATCAAGATACAAAATGAGAATCGTATGGATACGATTTTACATTTCTCAACAAATATCATTTATTTTACGGAAAAGGGTCAAAATTGCCCCCGAACTATATGAAATAGACCATTTATACCCTTCGTTACATTTTGGGATAAAAAATGCCCCTGCTGTTATCCTAAGAGACCACAAATACCCTCAAGAGTTAACACCCCAAATTTTTGTTGACGTGGCAAGCCACGTGGGAATAATCCTTCCACATAAGCGTTGCCAACTAGGATTCACTACAAAAGAACTAGACCTTTAGCGGTAACAATAGTCGCCACAAAAGCTCAGAAAATCGTCACTAAAAGTTTTTAACATTAAATTCTAATTTTGTGTTTTTTTCTTCATTGTTTTTAAAAAATCAAATATGATATCGATTAAGTAGGAGTTTGAAGACACTATATGTTTTATTTTTATGTCATATGTAAATGTATAAAATGTACAATGATGCATTATATATATAGTAGGAGATTTGAATCGAGAAGTAATTTTGATTATTTTTCATAATAATATTGGATGTTTTTAATATGGATATTGCAAGTTATTTATTTTAGAAAATTAGATCGCAATTCAAAATTAATTATCATATTTTTTTTGTTGAAAAAATAGGTTTTACTAGCAATGGTTGTTGGAGCCTTAGTCGTCACTACTCATAACCTTTAGTGGCAATATTTTGGGATTTTGTGGCGACTTTGTCGCCACTAAAAGTCAAGTTCTTTTGTAGTGAATCTTAGTTGGCAATGCTTAGGTGGAGGGATTAGTCCATGTGGCTTGTCACGTCACTAAAAAATTGTGGTGTTAACTCTTGAGGGTATTTGTGGTCTCCTAGGATAACTGCGGGGGTATTTTTGATCCCAAAATGTAATGGAGGGTATAAGTGGTCTATTTCGCATAGTTCAAGGACAATTTTGACCCTTTTCCGTTTACTTTATTATTCTAAGCGGGCATTCAATTTTGGGTAAGGAAAAACTTGCTTTTCTCAACTCTTGGGGTCAGGAATTCCTATATAACTTAAGTGACACAACAAAAACTTTTCAGATATCATTCATCCCCAAGTTTAAAATTCACTATACGTTCTATCTATAAAGATTTTGGAGTTGTTGAGAATGAGCAAATTATAACTGATCTTTGTTTGCAAACTTCCAATAATTTGCAATACATTTTTAAAAATTCAATCCTTTTTATCTCATGTATTTGCTAATATAGTTGCCTAATGTTGAACTGTATCAATCATAGTAGTACTAAAAATCCAAAAGCAAAGAAAGAAAGTATCAAACTCCATAGAGTGAAAAAAAGTAAAGAGAAAAATCCTATAAAACTTCAATACTCTAATTACAAATTATTAATAAAAAAGGTGAAAAGAGTATGTACAAGTATGAGTATATGTTTTTGAATGTAAGCATTCTCTTTCAGGTAATAAGTTCACCCTTAAGAGCATGAACAGCTCTTTGTATGGCCCTTGCAGTTCTCCAAATCTCATGCTGAATTGCTGCATTCTGCTCTCCACCGCCTGACAATTTAGATATTGCATTTGCTATTCCAGGAAAGAAATCTAACTCACTTTCACCGTCATTACGAGGCCCATAAACCTGCATTCCAAACTCAAAACACTTACTAAACAGATACAACACCAGTGCCATCTTCCCAGACATTGTTTGTGGTGGCGCTGTAAATCATCTAAAATGACAATTTTATCATTTCACAAAGTTTCATTCTCATAATAGATTTTCTCAGTCAATGCCAATGGCTGTGGAGACTACAATACATAATGTGCTCTTCTACATGTCCATTTAGGGGTGACATTTGAAGCAGATCAATTCGATGAAAATGGTCCAAAAACAAAGTCACTCAGAGGTGGCTTTCTTTAGATATAAAATTACAACAGTCAAAACTTTCATAGTTTTCACGGAGCGGAGTGAATGAGGATTTCCTATGGGATTCCACACATATCCAAGGGTGATATGAGAGGAGATCCAAATCTTGTGAGGTAATGAACACAAAAGGAAAACAATGATAATTTGTGAAATCTCAACTATACCGAAAGGGAGAAAAAGCTTACCATATGCTTAAACCATGGTCTTCCCTGAAGCCCTTCTGCATCCAAAAAGCCCCTCTCAGCAAACATGAGCCGGTCGTTTAATATTCGTCGTTTCAGTGCTGTGTGCTCGTCTGTGGCTTTATCTTCTTTCAGTTTCTAGGTTTACGAATACAGAGGAGCTGAGTGAATATGAATTCATGAGTGATAATTAAAGAAAATATCTTAAAAGAAGAAGCAAGCAAAACATAAAATATTGTTGAAATTTTTCTATATGTCCATCCCACACAAAATAAAAGCACAAGTAGTGGGAAAAAGGTGCAATCCTTGATCCTTGTTTCCTTATTTTTACTCAAATCACCCACTGAATATTTGTTTTACGGAACACATGCCGATTGTCAGCTTATGTTATAAACTTTGCTTACAGCAATGCAGGTAATAGAAAACAAAGGCATCATGTTTTGTTTCACCTTTTTTTCCTTCAGTATTTATTCTGAGGATATCTCGTTCATGTTTAATCTCTATGTTCCACAACATACAACTGTTTATGTAGGATTAGTACAGAATACCATGATGCACAAACAGTGAATTCGACTGATCCAGGAGATAAAATATCGAGGAAGATGAATGCCAAGTTCAGGGGCTTAGAGCCTGTTTGGATTAGCTTTAGGCTTATGACTTATAGTTTCTAACTTATGGCTTTTGGCTTATTTTGTTATTTTGGCTTAAAAACAAGTGCTTATTTTTATTTTACCCAAACACCACCAAAGTGCTTAAAAGCTATTTTACCTAAAATAAGCCAATCCAAATAAGCTTAGCCCGAGAAGATCAGCTAAGAATTTGAATTAAGAAAAGAGAGAGGAGTTTATTTAATCCAACAATGAATTAAAATTCCATCTACAACAGGTATATAATCTAAAGCTAAATTGATACAATCGAGTAACTGTTTTGTTACTAACTGCACTGAAGCATACTGTAGCAACTAACTCCTAACAGTGATAACAGAATTTTGCCAACTCAGCAATTCCAAAATAACTTTTGCCACCTCAGCTTATCTCGTTACTTGCTGATTTACTTGGAACAATACCCCTGCTGAAGAACACCCTCAACCTCAAGGGTGAAAGGAAAGAGATATGTGCTGCAATTCAGTGACAAAGTCCCATGTAGCTTGGTCTTAAAATATACCAGTTACTTCACCAGAACCTGTTCAACAGCCCTGTTGCCCATCTTCACCAATCTCCTCTCTAGACTAGCCTCAGGAGTAGGACAATAAGGACTTGACAAAAGAAACATAGGAGGATGAGTAATCACAAAAGGCAACTCATGACATGTCATGGCAACTCATGGCATTTCTTAAGCTGAGATACACGGAAGGTAGGATGAATTAGAACATCAGCAGGCATTAGCCTATAGGCCACAACACCAATCTTAGCATCAATAGGATAGGGACCAAAGTACTTAACTGCAAGCTTATTAAAGGGCCTAACAGCTACTGAAACATGCCTGTAAAGCTGGAGTTTCAGATGCACATAATCCCCAACTGCAAAATCCCTGTCTGATCTATGTTTGTCTGATAAATCCCTCATTCTCTGTTGTGCCCCCTCTATGTGGAACTTGAACAACTGTATGATAGCCTCTCTTGCAGCCAATGATCTGTCCACCATGTCTACATTAGACTCACCAACCAGATAAGGAAGATGCAGAGGTGGTTTTAGAGCACCTCATAAGGAGTACATTTAATGGTAGTATGATAAGTCGTGTTAAATCACCACTCAGCCAAGGACAAGCAAGCAGACCACTCCTTGGGACAATCTAAACAAAAGCACCTAAGTCCCCAAGGTTCTATTCAACACTTCTGTCTGACATCAGTTTGTGGATGATAAGCAGTGGGTCTCTGAAGTTGTACCCCTGAAGAGTGAATAATTCCTGCCAGAATAAGCTCATGAACACTGGATCTCCATCACTTGTCATAGTAAGTGGCAATCCATGCAACTTAAACACACTGTCTAAGAAATATTGAACAACAGACTGAGCAGTGTACAGATGTTGCTAGCTGAGGAAGTATTCATACTTGTTAAGCCTGTTCACAACCACCAAAATAACCTCCCTTCCATTGGATTTAGGAAGGCCTTCAATAAAATCAAGACATATATCAGTCCAAGGACAGGAAGAGGCTATAATAAACCAGGTGAAGCTGCAGCATCATACTTGTGTCTCTGACAGATATCACATCTATTAATAAAGTTCCTGGTGTCTTGACTAAGGCTTTTCCAATTGAATAGTGAGGGTCTGGAAGGATGATGGTGCATTGGTCAAGCCAAAAGGCATGAATAAAAGTATAAAACTCATAGTAGCCTTCATGAGTCTTGTAAGCAGTTTCATGAGTATCACCTTCAGTCATTCTTAACTGGTGGCACCCTACTCTCAGGTCAATTTTAGAAAACACTTAAGCACACCCCCCCCCCCCCCCCCCCCAATTCTTCTAACAGATCCTCCATTATGGGAATTGGGAACTTGCCCTTAGTGGTCATCTGATTGATTTCCATGTAATCAACACAGAGCCTCCAAGACGCATCCTTCTTTCCCACCAATACCACAGGTTAAGCATAAGGACTAGTACAATGTTGTATCACACCTTGATCCAACATCTCTATTACTAATTTTTCAATAATATCCTTCTTGACTCCAGGGTACTTGTAGGGTCTTTTACTGACAGGATTAGATGCATCCTTAATGGAAATTTTGTGATCAAATGGCCCCCTATGTGGTGGTAGTGTAATAGACATCTCAAATATGCAAGAGTACTGTTCTATCAGTTTAGATAGAGATGATGAAATTTCAGTACCTTGAGTAGCCTGTATGGTATTGCAATGTCCCCCTTCTGTTGCCTCCTCAACTATAGACATCATGAAGAAGTGAGCATCTAGTCCTCCTATCTTATTCAATGACTTGGACTTGCTGGTCATGAGCTAGTTTCAGCACCCCTGAGCTCATGCTTCTCTTCCCTAGGTACATAAATTCAACAGACCTGTATTTGAAATCAAATGATATTCTGCCTAAGGTACTCAGCTACTGCACCCCTAATACAAATATACAATAAACATTTCCTAGAGGCAAAAGTAGGAAGTCTGAAGAAAAAGTTGTCCCTTGTAACAATCATTGCAAATTCTTGCACACTGAACTAGTCTGTACCCTTCGACCATCGTTATAAACTGCTCAATGATAGGACTAGATTTACAACCTAGACTTTTGAAATCGAACAAGATTCTGCCGAAGGCACTCAACTACTGCACCCCCAACATAATATCAACATTTCCTAGAAGCAAAAGTAGGAAGTCTGAAGAAAAAGTTGTCCCTTGTACCAACCATTGCAAACTAGCACACTGAACTAGTCTGTACCCTTCTACCATCAGCCACACTTATAGACTGCTCAATGATAGGACTAGATTTACAATCTAAACTTTTAGCCACTCCCTGATCAATGAAATTATGGGTGCTCCCAGTATCAATCAACAGTTCCAGGGGTTTCTTCTCATGATAACCTGACTCTTATAGTTTGATACCCTGTCACACCAGTAAATGCTTGCAGTGATATAGCCATTCATCTAATTCAATTACCATTTCCTGTATCTGTTCCTTCTCATTCAGAACCACTGATTCCTCCTCCAATACTTCTACTAAGTACAACTGTTTCTTAGCTGTACAGTTATGTCCTAGTACGTGTTTCGCATCACAGAAAAAACAAAGCCCTTTAGATTTTTCTCATCCATTTCAGCTGTTGTCAACCTCCTGTTGTATTATTGAATCTATTAGGCTTATTGGAGTTTGGTTCAAAGGGCTACTTGAATGTGGAAGTTTGGACTGTGGAATTTGGAAAGGAAAGCTTTTGGGAATAGGGTTTAAGACTTCAAGATTGAGCTTGTGCCTCAAACACTTCTTCCTGCAACCTTGCAATCTTAGAGGCTTGTAGTAGTGTTCTTGGTGACTGAATTCCCACAGCTTTATCCAATTCTGGGTTCAGACCTCCCAAGAAAAGCTAATAGCATTCTCATTTGATAGGTTAATTCCTGTCAACAGTCCATCAAACTCAGCCTGATACTCCATAACACTGCCAGATTGATGCAGATTTTTCAAGGCTTCCATAGAATCTTCAAAGCCTTCACCAAAATTTCATTCAGTGCCATAGATACGCAGTCCAGGTCCAAAATTGACACTCTAGATCTCAAGTAAGACATGCAAGCTATGGCTTCTCCTTCAAGGTGTATAGCAGCCACCCTCACCCTTTGTTCAAAGGGTATTTCATCCATGGAGAAGACTGATCGACTTTATACAACCAAGTTCGCTAATCTTGGCCAGAAAATCGAGGAAATTCTAATATGGAGTAACGAATGAAAGAATTAGCACCATTGTAAGCAGCAGCATTTGGTGTTTCTCTGGGTCGATTCTCACGTTGTCATTCTACCGAACACTCTCTCGCATTCGAAGATTCTACTCTCCCAAGCTCTTCATCCTTTTCCTTTGTACTCATATATCCAATTGCTTCCTTGATCTCACCCAATTCCTTTTCTGTTTGAGTATTGCGACCATGAATACTAGACATGCCCTCCATCAATTTCTGCAATTGCTCCTGAATCTGCAGAAATCTATCCTCCATTCCTTCTACTGGTCTTTCTTGATTCTTGCTTCGTCTCAGCATAGCCATGCCAAGGAATGATGGCTCTGATAACAATTGATGCACAAACAGTGAATTCGACTAATCCAGGAGAATCTCGAGGAAGATGAATGCCAAGTTCAGGGACTTCGTCCGAGAAGATTAGCTAAGAATTTGTATTAAGAAAAGAGAGAAGTAGAGTTTATTTCATCCAACAATGAATTACAATTCCATCTACAACTGGTATATAAGCTAAAGCTAAATTGAATCAATCGACTAACTGTTTGTAACTAATTGCACTGTGGCTTGCTGTAGCAACTAACTCCTAACAGCGCTGACAGAATTTTGCCAACTCAACAATTCTTAACTAACTTTTGCCACCTCAGCTAATCTTGTTACTTTGCTGATTCACTTGCAACATACCATGTATAAAGGAGATAGGAATCTGGGTTAAGAGGAGAACTCCAATAACTATCTCATTAAAACTTGCAGAGCATATGGGAGCTGGTGGCATATGGAGTATGTTCTTATCAGTTATTGGAGTTGCCTGGGTCATGCCAAATAGTATTAAAGAAGCCTATGAGAGCTGGTGTTCGTGGAGAGTTGGGAAACCCATCAAAAAAACATGGCGTATGGTGCCTGCTGCTATTGGTGCATCTGGAATGAAAGGAATCGTAGATGTTTTGATGGGATTTCAATTCCTAACGGCATTCTAAAATCCAACTGTTTAGTCTTCTTATATAGTTGGTTTCAACCAGGCCCCTGTAACCACTGTTGATCTTTTTTTGGACTATGTCTGCTCTTTAGTTATTTAGTAAATTCTTGTACAGGAGCAGACCCCTTCTTTTTGCTGTAATTTTTTGCCTTGCATCTTCTTGATGCCTTCTAATGAAATCTCCTTACTTCATCAAAAAAATTTTTGCAGTACTTTTGAAGATTATAATTACAATTAAAAGAGGAAAAAGTAGCAGTAAAACCTTCATGTATTTTGGGACCCCATTCCATAATTTTTTCTCCATCACTTCCCGATGCTCAGTATCTGACCACAACTACTTTAGAAGAAAGGAAGTAAAATTGTGCAACAGAGTTTAATATCTAACCTTTGCTTCATCTAGAGTTTCTTTAGCTGCAGCTGCAAGTTCTTGAGTGGCAGCAGTAATAGGATGCAACGAGATGTTTCTTCCTTCCAACAACTTACTCAGGATACGGGTATAGTCCTGTAAATTTGTAGACATTAACCCATAGACAAGGGTGAGTAGGGAGAAGTAGAGAGCTTGTGTGGTGTTCATTGAAAACAAGACCACAGCAGATAAGTCCATGACTTTAAAAGAGGATGTAGATTATGATCTTCAATAAAGCAAGCATTAATATTGTTGTGTTCATCTCCTAATCTTAAGAAATCATGCATTTTTCAGGGTCAGTCACATAGTATAAAGAAAGTTGTTTATTTTTGCTTCTTCTATAAGGAATTAATAAATGCATTCAAGTGAGTTTGCTTGAGAGCAATCACAAGGGCCAAGCATAAAAAGGATGTCATGACCAAATTAACACAATATAGCATATGTGACAGATGCATACAGAAGGTATTCAATGTATGGCGTGGATATAAATCCTTCTTCAAAGAACAATCATGATGTTAGGTGTATTTATACATCTTTATGCACTACTTTATTTGCATTTCTACCTTGTTTTGATATGAATTAGTAATAAATATACCTAACTTATGTTGATTATGAGATATCAAACTAATTTGGGCTTTATTTGCGAATATAGGTGTTTCTGGACGAAAATGAACAAGAACTGGAAAAACCTAGAGAAATCTGGCTAAGTGTGGATGAAGTGCAAGTTCACCGCGTTGCACTACCCAATACAATATCACTCAGTGTGATGGCCAGCACGACGTGGTGAGGAAATGGAAGGCCCTCAGAATTTTGACTTGGAGCATATTTGGATTGGCTTATTTTAGGTGCTTTTATGCCAAAATAGCTTTTAAGCACTTTTATAGTGTTTGGGTAAAGATTAAAAAGTCTTTTAAGCCAAAATAACAAAAATAAGCTCTCATCCAAACAGGCTCCAAGTCTCAAGGAGAAGAAGACAGTGCTCCCCACAGATTCGCAGTGACCAATGTGGTAAATTTCACCGCGATGGCCAGTGCGGCGTGGTGAAACATGGGAGGCTCAAGAATTTTTTAAAGTCAAGAGATGGCAAAGAGTTAATGCGGCGCATCACCCAACACGGTGAAATAGTGCGATGGGCGATGGGCTGCGATGAAAGGTGAATCAAAGTCTAATTCTGGCCGATTCCAAGTTTGACTAGGAGAGTTCATCTGAATGTTTTTCCTAGTCAATAGATAGACTCCAAGGTCATTTTTGAAGGGGTTCAGACATTTTGCTAAGAGTTTTGCACTTGAGGCCACAGATCCCTTGGTTTTTACTTCTTTTCATCTTTCTTAGATGTTTATGTACATAATCACATTCTCTTGATTGTTGTTATGAACATGAGCGGATAATTCCTTATTCCTGGGTTATGGTAGTTGCATGATTGTTGTTGTATGAACTTATTGATGTTTTAGAAATTAATCGTATGAGCTATTTATTTAACCTTGAGTTTAATTGTTATATTGTTTTGCGACCAATAGCATACACCTTTGAATCTTAGATTGAACACGAAAGTGGGAGTCTAGGACATGCAATAAGGTTAAGTAGAACAAAATCTCAACCCCAGACATCAGGGAGCGGATTTGCATCTAGGATAGGCATATACTTAGTTCGCCTTGTTCGGTTAATATACGGGAGTTTGAATGTGTTTGTGTTAAATTCATGACCACAGACATATAGGATCCATAACGCTTGAGTCTTATCTTTTATTTTGTTAAATCCCAATGTTTCAACTCTTGATATATATAAGTGATAATTAATTTATGGGTGTGGTTGGTATGAAGGAAAATGTTTTCTTGGTAAGTAAGTGGGTCTCTTACAATTTTTTAGTGTTTGGTAATTAAGTAAAAAAATATTAGAACAACAACATTTATATGTTATCTAGCAGAAAGTTATGGAGGCGGGTAGGGATGGGGAGTGGGGTTCAGGGGTGGCAGGGGGTGGGATGGTCAAGGGGTGAGGGTTGGGTGAGAGTGGAGGAGACAATAAACATGGAACCTCAATTGTGCAACTTGTTTTCCCTACTTCCATTAGGGAAGTCATTTTCCTCATTTTTAAGAAGCTATATATGTTTTCAAAACTTTTTATTTTTTGATAACCAGAAATCCGTCTGTGACCTGCCCTTTGGACCAATCACAGCCTTATAAACTCGGTGGATAATGGGCCCGCCCCTCTACCCTTCTCCACTTAAATACCGGGCTTCGCTTTGCATGGTGTGGGGCTTGAACCTGCGACCTAAGCCACAAATCCTCCATCTTTTGCCACTCGAGCTAGGCCTTGGGGGCATGTTTTCAAAACATTTTGATCAACCAATCATATGAAAATTGGAAAATATTTCCAGGAAAATGTTTACCTCCACCTACCAAACACACAAAAATCATTTATTTTGTGCTGTAGATTAAAATCAACTTGTGGTGAAAATACTTGCGCAATTAATTAGTATAAGTTAATCAAATAAATTGAAAAAGCATGTCATTGTGGTTCAATATCCGACTTTTGAGTCATTGTATTACTTGGTGACCACGTGCATTTGCATTTGGGAGCAACAAATCACTCCAACATATTCATCTTAATTATAGGTCAGAGGTATTAACAATAGCTTATGCTTCCAAAAGTGAAACCCTCAAAATTTAAACTTTCTTTACCTGCAGCTCAGCAGCATATGGAAGATAGTTAAAAGGTAAAATCGGATCCTCAGCCAGGCGAAGCGCAAGAAGTCCCCACACTCCTGTCACTGTGAGCAAAGGGAGGAGAAACAAAGAAAAGCATGTCATCTCCATAGCATGACATCAAAATCCAAAGATAAAAAATGAAACCCTAAAAACCTGTATCAATGTAGATCAAACATATGCAATTTTAGATATTAAGAAATACCTTTAAGTTATATAGATGCATCTAACATATATACAAAGCTGGTAGCTTCGAATAAGCCACAGAAACATTTAAAGCTACATAAAATAAGTAACTACCTGCCACATGCCGCTGAAAGAATGGATCCCCAAAATTTACCATCCAGTTGTAGGAATCAAATGCTGTGTGATATACTGGAAAATCTGCAAGAGAACAAAGAAATCATTTACAGAATATATGGGGCACAATGTACCTTGGATGCACTGAAATCCCACTGTTTGGATGATTTTGGGTTTGGTCTGGTTTAGCTAAGAATGGAAGCACTATACCTCTGCCATAGTACAGATCAACAGAAGGAACACCTGCATGGTGCAAAAATGGGGCAAAGTCTGAATCTACTCCACTAAGCCGTTGAATCTGCAATTGCAAAGACCATCACACTTGCACGCAGCTTAGAAAAGTACAGAAGAGAAGATAAAGAGGACAATAAATCACGGAAACAAATGGATGCAAGGGAATCCCTCATTTGTCCATGCCAGAAACCAAGGAGAAACAGAATTTTAGCAACATTTAGAATTGGTTACAGAAGGGATCTTATTATTGAAGATAGGTACCATACATTTCAGTCTCCTAGAAAATGCTATTACGGAGGATAAAGAACTCTTTCCAAATGCAAAGACTTGCAATGAGGGTCACTTGCTCAACCAAATTTGTAAGTCACTTACCATTTCAAAAATGCTTCACACTTAGTGGTGGAAAACAGGGGGCGGGGGGGAGCCAACCTTACAGGAAATGGTAAATACTGACACAAGAAATGATGATTTTATGAGTCAACGCATTATACTTATAGAAGTTTTATCCCATATGCAACAACTCTCAGAATATATATGAAATAACAACTTGTATGCAAAACCCATAGTCATATGTGCATAAAATTCTGCATCCAAAACATCCCTTTAGATATACAGGTAATCTTGACCATTTTCTTTTATAAAATTCTAATTGATCAGGAAGTATCCTCTTAGTTCTATTTTTATGGTAAATAGATTATCCTTTTCAACAAAATCTCAGTATTCAGTATTCCTATTTGATAGATAAGACAAAAAGAATTCTAGTGTAACGCAGTATACGCTACACCTATAATTTGCTTGATGAAAGATTGTGTAAAGAAATAACGAAAAACAGCGCATGAGAAAATTACCTTGATACCTCTATTAGCAGCTGTCCATCTTTCATAAAGAGTCATGCCCTCTGAGTCTGGATCATTAACCTTATCCAGCAAATCAAATACAATTAGCTAAAACATCAGATTAAAAGGAATCATTGTCTAAAACTTCCACTGACTGATAGCATAGCAGGCTTACCTTCTTGGTGATTTCGGTAAGCAGATTGTCAAACTGAGGAGTCGTACTGGGAAAAAACCCAGGGCCTTGAACTGCACAATCCACATTTAGATAGGCCACAGATTTAGATCCAAGGTTGACAAGATTCTGCTCAACCCATTCAGTTGATCCAATCTGAATCCATGAAGAGAGAACAAGATGAGTGCAAAACAAAAGTAAAGATCATTACAATAACTCTGGTAGCTTTGAGGAAGCAGTCTAATATGACATTAGCCCAGAATCAGGTTCCAGAATATCTGTGATGGGCTATTCTGCACTCTCTCTGTTAAATAGAGTCCAAGCCACAAAACATGCATAAAGGCCTATAAACTATAGCCACTCAAAAAACTTTCTTACTTTATGGTCAATCCTACCGTTTAATCATCCAGCCAGATTCACAGGTCGCGTCCACATAATATTCATGTTTAATAGCAGAACAAGAAGTGATTAAAGAGAATCACAAGTTTATTTTTTGAATTAGCATACATATTTCTAAAGAGGGGGTAAAATAAGTTGGACAGAATAATCTCTCAGTCAATTCTAGACATTGCACCTGATCCTACCATCAGAGAGCAGAACATGCTGGTGACTTCTGGAGATAGAACATTACCTACCATCCCAAACTCTTCTGCATCCCAACTGCAGAGAATGATTGTTCTCCGAGGATTCCAACCCAAACGCATGAGAAGAGCATATCTACGAGCAATGTCAAGCAGGGCAGCGGTTCCACTATTGGGGTCAACTGCTCCATAAGTCCATGCATCTCTATGGTTTCCAAGAAGTACAAAACGATCAGGCTCTTGTGATCCCCGTATGACAGCAAAAACATTATGAACTGTTGCCATCTTTTTCTCACCCTGGAATCAGAAATAATGCAGAAACACTTCAATAAATTTCTGAGCTAACCTACTTCTGGGCCAATCCGTATATATACCATTTTGTTGGGTAACTTTAGTCGTTAAATTGAAAAGAATCAATTAAAGTTAATGGTTACATATATGCACACGCTGTAAAATTAGGTAATATATCTTGAGAGAATTGGCAGGTGAAAATTGCAAAAGATCTATTTCTTTGATGAACTGCATATCTCTTCAAAGATTGGATTAAACAACTGAGACCAGGAGATGTTCAATAAGAGAAAGTTCCTTTGACCAATATGACTTTCCTAATATGTATTTGACTCATGCATGTTAGTCTTAGGGGAGCCTAAAGAATGCCATTTAAAATGCCGATCTAAATAACCATTGTGTGACAATGGAGAAATAACTATCACGAGCAACTTTTCCTTTCTATCATCCAAAGAACATATTTAACCTTTTAAGCACTTCATAACATTCATGGAAATATTAGTATCTTTGAAAAATCACATAATTTTGAGCTTGGCAATAAAAAATAATTTGATAACAGTGGTGTCGGGGACAGCTGGAGGACACCTCGACTGATTCCACGGGGTACCTACTACCACGTACCAACACAAGTACCGAGTAACTCTATCCACCAAGGCACGTATAGGATATGAAACCACTTAGTGTTTTTGCCTCTGCTAGAAATTGAATCTGAGACTACCCTTCGGGGTGGCCCAGTGGTTTGGCCTTGGGACTTCCATGTTGGAGGTCTCAAGCTCGAAACCCCTTGCCAGCGAAAGCAAGGGGTTTGCCTTCTGGGTCGAGCTCGTCGCACTGGGCTTGCCTAGTGTGGGTTATGTGGTTTGCAAGCTATTGCATAGGAGCGGGGGTTTTACCCTGTGCGCACCCAAAGGGTAGTGGCTGTGGGTTTCCCTTGTCATTAAAAAAAAAAAAAAAATAGAACTTGAGACCTCATGGTTCTCAACCCACTGAATCCACCACTAAGCTACACTTGCAAACTTGGCAATAACTATTATGACCATTCATATTGATAATGAAAGTAGTAGCGGTGAGACAATAGTTAGAGGCAGTTCTAAGTTCTAACAAGTCACTCGCTCCTAGCAGAATCTGACAATAAATCATCCAATTCTTTTGGTAAGAAAACAGATATGCCTTGGCATAAGTAAAGACTATTATGACCAAATTTGAACAAAAACATCTATTAAAACAAGAATTGGAATCCATGCTATTTAAATGAGTAAATCCAAAGGGAAAGCATGAACTCCTTGAGAAATGTTAACTTATATAAAGTGGGTCCTACTATACGTAGTTAGTACATGACATTGGAAAAGCACTAAAATGCTTCGTGAAAGATATTTTCTCCGAGAAAAAAGTTGATACATTCTAGGTTAGCTTCGAAAAAAAAGTGACACGGCTTGTTTGGAAAGAGTGTTAACAGTAAGTTGTTTCCATAAGAGAAAACATAATTACCCCCTCCAACTAAGACATTATTTTCAAACATACACTTTAATTAGGTGGGTGTCCTAAATCCTAATACCCCCTTATGACCCCATGTGACGTGGAGAGTGTACTTCATTCTCCAATAGAGCATTAGATAAGCAAAAATTAAGAATTTTTTAGTTTTTTGAGCATCTGTTACATTGAAAATATTTTTTTGTTACTTTATTTATTTTAATTTATTTTTCAATTCTTTTTCCTCTTATCTTCTTCATCGAACTCTTCACCCATTTTCATTTTTTCCAGTATCTTCTTGCTTCTCTCATCTTCTTTCTCCTCCTTTATTCAACCTCTTTTTCCTCGAGCCTATAACCCGATAAATCATAGTTCTTGTTAGGATCGAGAACTTGGGTAGTGCAGAATTTAGCCAAACAATGTTACAATGACAAAAGTAAAGACGATCATAAGTTGATAATAACGAAAGTAAAGCAAATAAAGAAGACACAAATTTGACGTGGTTCGATCAGTGTGACCTAGTCCACTGGCAGAGAGGAGCAATTTCACTATATCAACAAGGATACAAATTAATCCCAAATACCCCCAAGAGAATAACCTCACAAGATCACTCTAAAGAAAGGTTCACACAAGTGTTTTCTTTTACTTAAAGGAAACATAAAGAAAGAGAGCAATGAAATGCTTTCATGAGCTTCAAGGTGTGTTACAACTAATGGCCAATTTCCTTATTTATAGGAATGAAATGTACTTGTTGATGTCATCAGTGACATCAATAGAAGATACAAACATCAACATTTCAATGTAAGCATATCAACTTTTATATGACTGCCAAATCTCAATATTTACGACTGCCAAATCTCAATATTTATGGCTGCCAAATCTTTGACAAAAGAAAGAAAAAGTACCCTACAAAATCTAAGTCAAAATAACAAAGGCCACATTACAAATCTCTACCTTGGCCTGACCCTGGCGAATATAGTAAATCTGCTCCATCCTCTCCGCAAAAGCCCATATGGGCTAAATTATTCTTCATAAATGGCAATCAAGTCAAGCAAAGCTTGAACTTGCTGACTGGAAGAGACTTCATAATCTTCTAAACAAAGACCTTTCCTTAAACAATGGTTTCTCGGATGAAGTGATACTTGGTATCAATATGCTTCGTTCTCTCATGATACTCTTATGATCCTCTATGTTATACCCCAGAAAAGAGTCTTCTAGTTCAGGTAACATGAATAAGGAGCTTGGCATTCCTTCTAAGCCAAACTCATTGGAACATAATACAGTTGAAACTCCTGATGTTGAAGCTCTAGAAGTTGAGTTAGAAGTTGTGACTTCTACCGTTGTACCAAATGGGTATGCCATAGCTACATACAGACCAAGGTGGAGATTTCTAATGTTGTGGCCTTTGTTATTTTGTCGTAGATTCTGGAAGGTCCATACCATGATCAAGAAAGTTGTTTTTCTTCCTTTTGTCAAAGATTTGGCGGCCATAAATGTTGAGATTTGGTAGTTGTAAATGTTAATATTTGACAGCCGTAAAAGTTGAGATTTTGCAGCCATAAAAGTTGATAAATTTACATTGAAATGTTGAAGTTTGTATCTTCTATTAATATCATTGATGACATCAACAAGTACATTTTCATCCGTATCAATAGGAAAGTCGGCCATTAGTTGTAACACACCTTGAAGCATATGAAAATATTTCATTGCTCTCTTTCTTTATTTTTCCTTTAGCGTAAAGGAAAACACTTGTGTGAAAGAAAGGAGTGATCTTGTGAGGTTATTCTCTTGGGGTATTTGGGATTTGTTAGAATATGAATATGTATATACAATCCTACTTAGAATTGGAATAGTAATAGGAATAGAAATAGTATATAATATCCTACTTAGTAAAGGATTGTTTGTGGTGTCTATAAATAAGGTTTCGGTGTAAAGTTACTAATTTCAAAAATAAAAATAAAAATAAGGCCTCGGTGTAATAATGTAGATACACAGTCATAAAAAAAATGTAGATACACAATTCAACAATATTCTTTTCTTATATTTCTCACATGGTATCAGAGCCTCTACGATCTTGGTAGAGAATCAAAGAGCCTCCACTATCGGCGAACGACTATTACCCATATATGCCACCCGTTTTGCCAACATTATGTTAGCAAAAGTTGGGCCATCGTGCATCTTTTTGGTGACTATTTTCTCATATCTAATTGGTGTAGCACCATGCAATCTTTTTGATGACTACTTTCTCATATTCGATTTGCATAGCATTCTGTCATATTTCCAATGACTGCTTTCTCATATCTGATTTGCATAGTACGGTTCATCTCTCTAGACTACTTCTCAAATTTAATTTGCATAGTGCCGTAGATTTTTCCAAACTACTTTCTCATATCTGAGTTGCATAGCATCGTATGTCTTTACAATGACTCCTCAGATTTGATTTGTGTAGTTCCATGCATCTTTTCTGTGACTCCTTAAATCTTATTTGCATAGGACTGTGCCATCATTCTAACCCTACTCGTATAATTTCTCTTTTCCGGTAGGGTTGTGCCGTCAATCCAATCCTATCCGTATAATTCTCTTTCTCAGTTGGGTTGTGCCATCATTCCAATCCTACCCATATAATTCTCTTTCTAAGTAGGGTCGTTCCATCATCTGACCCTACCCACAAAATTTTATTCCTCGATTGTGACCATTTTCAGCCATCAAATCTAGTTATCCGACGCGTGAGCATGTTCCGACCAGTTTTACAATGACTTTCTTGTTTAAGATCTACTCATCTCTTGATTTAGAGACTATCCATATATTTTATATCATATTTCGAGCACAATCTGTTTCAGATTTACTTTTGCCAAAAAAAAAGTTATACTTAGATATTTCGTCTCTCCCGTGGCTAAAATAGCATATGTCCACCTTATTCTATCTATGGTTTCCGTTCTCCATTGGCCTTTTAATCAGTTGGACATTAAGAATGTTTTATCCACGGTGATCTTGAGGAAGAAGTCTATATGGAGCAACCACCTGATTTTGTTGCTCAAGGAGAGTCTAGTAGACTTGTATGTCGATTGTGTAAGTCACTTTATGGTCTGAAACAGTCTTTTCAAGCTTGGCTTGGAAAGTTCAACACTGTAATTCAGGAATTTATCACTCTGTGTTTTATTGATATTATAATCAAATCCAATAGCGCATTGAGATTGACTAACATTATGCATCAAATTCAATACTTCATGAGAAGAATAAACACATTGAAGTTGACTATCAATTTTATGAAGTCGAGTGATCAACTTTCAGATATCTCAGCAATCCCTTCATCGATCCTCGTATTAATTACATTTGTAACAAGCTAGGTACATATGACTTGTATGCACCAGCTTGAGGGGAGTGTTAGAATAGGTATATGTATATACAATCCTACTTAGAATAGTAATAGGAATAGTATATAATATTCTACTTGGTAAAGGCTTGTATTGTGGTGTCTATAAATAGGGTCTCTGTGTAAAAATGTAGATATACAATTCAATAATATATTTTGCTTATATTTCTCACATGATTAATTAAAGTATTTACTCTAATTTTGTACTCTGTTCTGTACCCTTGTTGATATAGTGAAATTGCTCATCTCCGCTAGTGGACTAAGTCACACCGACCAAACAACGTTAAATTTGTATTTTCTTTGTTTGTTTTACTTTCGTTATTATCAACTTACTTTTGTCTTTATTATTGTCATTATAACATTGTTTGGCTAAATTCCACGCTACCCGAGTTCTCTATCCTAACAATTCTTTGTCAACTATTTTTTCTTTTAATTTTGTTATGAATTTATTATCCATCATTTTTTGGTAAGAGAATTACAAATCTCCAATTTAATAGTGTTTCCCTTCATCATAATAATTGTTCTGATTTTTATTTTCAATCTAACGGTGATTTGGCAGTAACTATGGTGGTGGGGTGGTTATAGAAGCATACAAGAAAAAATTTACAGCCTCAATCATATCTCTCAAACCACTTTATCCTCTTATGTAAAATAAAAAATAAAACAATTAATAATAGAGGGTTAGAGCTATTTAGGAAAGATGAAACAAATGAATAGTGATGGCTATGTCGAAGGTTGGCCGGAGCGGAAGGGATGGGTCAATGGTGAGGAACACAGGGAATATGGGTTTAAGTGCATAAAAATGATGGAGGAAAGAGGGGAATAAAAGGAAGGAACAGAAATAAAGAAAAACATAATAAAAATATAAAATTAATTAATTTGACACGTGGCAAATAATAATTGGTCTGTGATTTACCCCTTCTTACTGATAACTGAGGTTGAACGGAAAAGGTTATATATATTATCATTTTGAAATTGTTCAAGGGGGTACTAGGACCACGCCAAGTTAAAGTGTCTATTTAAAAATGATGTCATAGTTGGAGGGCGTAACTATGCATTCTCTCTTTCCATAAACTGTAGTTTTCTCATCTAGAGAACCATGTTCTCCAGAGGATACTCCTCTCTCATTAAAAGCAACTCTCGTAACTGGGCGAAAGAGTCAACTCAAAAATTGGAAAATTTAGTGGCTTGGGTGAAAAATATATGTAATGTTCTAGAAAATCAGATATCGTTCTGCTCAGTCTTTCTTTCAACTAATCAAGAAGACCCGGGAAAAGCTAAGCACTGATGGATGTGTAGCATTCAAGTTATTCATGCAAGTATCTTGTTGGTACAGACTACATTCTTAATATGATAATTGATGATTTGGGGTATCAAAACTCTGAAATCTAAATCTCTGAGATTTGAATATTTCTACTTCTAAAGCTGAGTGATACATTATATACTTAAGCTGCCTCATCACATCACAGTTATTTTATCGTTGCTTCATGGATATAGGCCGGAATCAGGTATAGCTGTATACCAAGCTCATGTTGACCCTTTATAAATTAAGAGAAGTGTATGAATTGCGCACATATTATGTGACTAGTACAACTAGGATAAGAATTCAAAAACGCTAAAGCTCTCCTAAATTGGCCATCACGTTTACGAACACCATCAAGCAACTAAAAAATATCAGAAACCTTGCATGTAGTTTTAGACAACTTAAAAGGATCCAGACTCTAGAAACTCATGTTCTGTTTTCTAAAGTCAACCTTGGATCAGCTTGACAAGCCAGCTAATGTTTGACAACATGGATACAATTCTCATTTTGTATCTTGATTAATTGGATCATTAGTTTTAGTGATAAAAGGAAACATAGCAAACACTGATACACAATTACCGACAGTATTTTTGTTTGGCCTATTAAAAGAAGGTTATATCCTCTCTTTTTTTTATGTAGCTAGTGAACCAAACATTCTATATATTCAGGACATGGTGAAAATTATTAAGTCCAGCTTGCAGCTGGTCAATGCCCCGGAATTGCATACATTATGTTACACCTTCTCAAAGAATAATTCATGAATAGCTACTTGGCAGGCATTTTTACTGCTCAACTCAACTTTCATCTTGCTTTTGAAAAATGGAAGAAGGCAAACTTGAACAGGAAGAACCCAAAAAAAGAAGTTAATAGATATGTTTACACAGGATAGCATGCATATGTTAAAATGTAATCTGCTCTCCTTAAACATAATGTCTATTTCATTATGTAAAACACCACTTATTTTGGAACGGAAGGCGTAGTGTTTGTGAGACTTTCTATTTTTTAGCATCATGAGCACACCTTATGATAAACCAACAGAAGCAGACTTGCTTTATTTGCTAATTGTAAAAGCCTGTTTTGAGAATACTTACCATTGCATGCCCAATTGATCCAAACCTCGATGGCTCGATCAACCATAAACGGTCATAGGTATGCATCTTTTTTTGTTTTTTGGTTGGTAAACGGTATTGTATAAAACAGCAGCAAAACTGCTGACAAGTATTTACAGAGGGAAGCCTCATTACAAGTTGTGTAATGAACTCAAAAAGTCAACCATGACCTAAAGTTAATCATCTTTACTCCAACCAATCTACGTAAATATTCAGGTTCATCTTTCTATTACAAGACAGCCCAGATCCTCCAGCATCCCTCTTCCCCTATCAGCTATACCTCCCGATAGATAAACATCACTTTAAGGTGAGACTGAACTATCCTACTCAAACTGACCTACCACCCCACAATCAAGAATGGCGTAAGCCAATACCACCCACCCCATATTCAAGATGTTTCTTATTGTCAAATATCATTTCATTACTTCACTAAAATGATGCTTGGGCAATATTTGGAAATGCAATCTTTCTTTACCAAAAGCAGACATGAGAACAAAGAAGTAATCTTTACCATCATCTATCAAGAAATTCACCAAAATTAACAACTTACAACTTTTGGAAAACCCAAAAACTTAAATAAATAGAACTCCATCCATCTCATTTTACTAGAAATAGATAAGTTGAAGACATTCTAGAAACATCCAAATAATAGTAGTCATAATCAAGGTATAGGACAAAATGAATGAAGACATTCAACACAAGAAATTGAAAGGAAAAAAAAATGAGCATGACAAAGAGGGGTGAACTAACCTGGTAGGTAAAGTTGATCATAATGGGTCCAGGCCCAAGTCTTCCACTAGTACTACATCTCAAACTCTTTCTCCATTCATAAGGCATCTCAGGTCCCTCAAGTGATTTCAATATAATCTCAGCTGACTTCATTGATATAGGCAATGAATGTATACTAGGAAACCTTTGCATCACCAAAGGGTCATCTATTCTCAACTTCTCCCCATTCTCAACCCCACCCCACCCAGGACTTAATGGGTCCCCTAAACCACTCATCACTGTCCCTCTTTCAACCCCACCTTCAAACTCACCCTCCGTAAACATCAACACCGCTTCCACCCCTCTCGCCGCCGCCTTCTCCACCATCTCATTCCTCGATAACCCACCACCCCTCCTCACAATCCCAACACATCCTTTAACCTTCACCCCATTCGCACCAAGGGCAATATAGTCCTTTTCCCTCCCATAATTCAAAAAACACGGCTTACCGTACGCCGACCCAGATGGTGAATAAGCATGATATGGCTTTACAACACCACTTGAAGAAAAACCCGGCTCATCCAAAGCTAAAGAAAGCACCGACCCATTTGGAAAATGGAGAATAACTGAAGAAAACAAAGGGTATGATAGAAGAACAGTGTAATTAGTAACATGGGTTTGAAGGTTTAAGGATTGGAAATGAGACTTAACGTAAAGAGCAGTATGAAGGGAAGGGGTTGTACCAGCAAGATGAGGGTGGAGAGTGAGGTGACGGAGGTAGGTAGCGAGGGTGTAGTTAGTGGCGGAAGAGATGAAAGTGTTGAAGTAAAAAAGGGAAGTTGGTGGTGAGTTATGGTGATAGTTGAGAGTAGTAAAGAAAGCTAGAATGAAGAAAATGAAGAGGAAACTCCATGTTTTGATAGAAAAATGGAGGTTTGAGCATAGATGAAGCATTTTTATTTTGTATGAATAGAAGAGAAGGAGGAGGAAGAAATGGTGTGTACTGTAATGGAAATAATATTCACAACTTCACATCATTTTTGTTTTGTTTGTTTTGGCGTTATGTATAGTGGAAATAAGTAACTGATGAGTTGAGTGGATATTTTTGCTCCATTTGCTTTTTGCTTTTTTTGGTCGAAACGAAGAGAATATATTCTCGCACACGGGTCTATGCCCCATATGAGTCTTAAAATGGGACAACAATGGGTAGGGGCGAGGTGAAGTGGGGAACGTTGAGTCTTTAATCCCTAAATTTTTTCCATATCCACTAGACTCTCTCCATTTTTTCCCTATTAAGTTTTTCTTCATTTTTTTATTTTGTTAACACATTTAATTTCTTTATTTTCATAAAAGAAGATTTTTAAATTACTTCCAATGCAGGATCGTCTCGATCAAGATTTTTAAATTACTTTCCAAGGATTCATTAGTAGAAGGTTATTGTTAGAGTTGGGCTCAATGTGGTTGCATAGTTATATGGGCAGTGTTCAGATAGTGCGGGTAACTGTTGGTATGGCTCTGGATGAGAGGATTATCTCTGATGGCTAAAAGGTGTTGGGTTTGGAGTATTCAGTTGAGAATTTGACTTATGAGCTATTCAACATCCTCTCTTGTTAGTTGGTCGCTTCTTTCTATGGTATTTTTGTGGTATTGGTTCGTCTCAAATTAGTCAGTTGCATTCAGTTGAGTTTGGTGTGGTTAAATGAAAGTTAGCATAAAAGGGAGGAGTTGGTTGGTTGCTAATTTTGAGCTTTGGAGATGAGGTGAATTTGAGAATTTTCTCTCAACCTGAGTTCTGGGTTGGCGTTACCCAACTCGAGAGGGTATCTATATATGACAGAGTGTGTGAGCCTAATGCCCTCATCTTCTGAGCCCTTAGGCTTCTCATATTCCTTGACTTTCGCAGATGAAAGTCCTTTTAGTATTGGATGTTATAATGACCCTCCAGGTCATTTCTGTTATTTCTGATCTGTTCAACGTTTAGATCTTTCTTGTAGCGGCCCCAAGTCATTTATGATTTGCTGGGACTAATAGTTCAGTCGTTGGGTCATTAGTGCGAGTGTTTGAGTTTGGAGTCTTTAAGCTTGAAATAGTTGACTTTAGTCAACATCCAGAGATTTTGACGCCAGAACAGAATTTCGTCAATTCCATTAGCTCCGAAAGGGTCATGAGTAGTTTGAGTTTTAAGGCTTTCATTTGGAGTTGGTGCGAATAGGCGTTTTAGTTTTAGAGTTTTGCTTCAAGTTTGACTTTGATAAACTTTTTTGGTAAACTCACTTAGAATTGAATTTTAGTCAATGTGGTTAGCTCTGGAATGTTGAGTTTGGTCTTGAACAACCTTTGGTTCAGTTCCCGAAGGTATTGGGATGAGTTTCCAGCTTTTGGTGTTTTGTTTGTATTCTTAGTTAAGTATTGACTTTGGTCACTATTTTGATGAAACGACCTCAGTTGGTTGTTTCGTCGATCCATTGAGTTCAGAATGTTATTTCCAAGTGGTTTGCACTTTTGGTTTGCGTCGTTTGGACTCCAAATGAATTCTGAGGGCTTGTTCAAAGTTTTGGACACTTGGCCCATTATGTTGGTGCAATCGTTGCTGGTGCAGCTTGGGCTGGTCTCCGCATTCGCGGACCTAGTCCCCGTGTTCACGGAGGCATGTGGTGCTTTCCCTCTGCGTTCACGGAGGTGTACTGCTTGGTCTTTTAAGACCAACAACCATTTCAGCCCAACCTCATTCCCTCTTTTTGAGATTTTGGGAGATGTGGAGCTTAAAATTGTGTGATTCCAAGTGATGGAGGTTTGTGTTGATCGTGGATATGTATTGGAATGTTTGGGGAGGCGTGAAAATTGTCGGTTGGAGGTATATTCTGCCCCAAAAAAGCTACCCAAACCCTCTTTAATGGTGTTTTCTTGTGATTCTTGTGGCATGGACTATTTTAGCCCATTTTCGAGCTCGGATCGTGCCAATTTTCGAGGCACAAGTTCCTTTAGCTATTTGGGGCCTTTTGACAGAGTCATTTCCCAGTGCGGATCCCATATGCCCATTTTGACTCAATTTTTGGGTCCATCTCCAGTTGTTGCGTTTTTGGTGTCTAAAGATTCGTATGGATGTTGTGATCAATAATTTTTTAGCATGGCGGTGTTTGGAGGAATTTGAGAGGTGGACAACTTTAGTTCTACAGTTGTGGAGCGCGCGTATTTCGCTTCGAGGTAGGCTACGGTCTACTTGTTCTTTGATTGAGCTTTCTTAGATGATGTTTTGCATTTATTGCATGTGATTTGGGATTTTAAGTAGCAGATTTAGGATTATCTCTATTATCCTTATTTCCTTGATTCCCGCTTGAACCTTAGAATAATTAGAATTATATCCTTAGTTTAGGTTGGAGATTCTTTGCTTGTGCCTTAGCTTAGTATTTTTAACCTCTTTAGAGTCATTATTTTGTACTTTGTTGGTAGTTAGTGTGACTGGTACCTTAGAAGAAGTTTTGATTTATCCTCAGGCATTATAGCTTCTTCTTAGGAGTGGTTCTCGAGTTTGGTTCTTTCCACTAGTGTGGGTACCATAAGATTGTGTGGGTCGTGGGCTTTTGCTTCAATTACACTTGTACCTATGATGAGGTTCCTATCCCTTGGTTAGTTTTGAAACCTTCGATGTTTATGTTTGTTATAGGTGGGGCTTAGTTGTGCTTGTACCTCTTTTTGGTTGTATCTTCGGGTGGAAGAGGTATTTCTTGTGTACTCCTTTGACTTATTGATTCCTTGTAATTCCTTTCACCGCTTTCTTAGAGTTTTTTCCTTCTCTTGTTATCTCTGTTGAATTGGTTGAGGTATGTTGGGCCCGGGGCCTTGTTCAAGGACCAGTTGGATCCTATGTTAGTTCTCGTGCTCTAGGAGTGAGAGGGTTGCTATTTATTCTATTTGTGATTGTGAGTGTGTTGTTAAGATGCTGGTGATGACATGCATTGGTTTGACATACTTGTGACTTGTAGTACTATCTGGTGCATGCATTGGTTCTCAGCATACTTTTGAGAAAGCAAAAATTTTGCTCGATTTACTTTTTTAAATTGATTTTTTATAGGGGGGGGAGGGGGGTCGTACTACTTTTACTGCTTTACAAATGGACTTGAGGTTTAAAGGAATCAGGGATGCACTCACTTTTACAGATTCTGAGATGCGCTCATTTTTACTTGACTGGTCGAAGAATATCCGACCCTTTATTTACTATTGAGGTTATGATGATTATCTCCAGTCACACTGACGGAGTAGAAAGTTTTGAATCGGGACCAGACATGTATATATGGACACTCCCGAGTCCCCATGGATTCTTGTATCTCTGTGACCCTTTGAACAAGAAGAGGAGGTGCACGTGAGACCTACCTCGTTGTCTGGGACTGGGGGTAGGTGTATATATCTTGACACTATTGGTACAACTGATTTTATTGCATAACTCATATTCATCATGCATTGCCTATCGCCAACATAATTGATTGTTGTTTGTACTTGTTGGTCATATGGGGGCCGTACAGGTTTAGTTTGTTGTTGTGTACCTTTTGAGCACATAGGGGCTCGATAAGGTTATTATTTGACTATTTGCTTACTTGTGGCAGTATGAATGGTGATACTTTGTTTGAAGGTAGATATTGTCCTTGTTCTCTCTGTTTGATGATTTTGTGCATGTTCAGTTTGGGATCATCTTCTTGAAGGTCATGTGATATCTGTGATTGTTTCTATTAGTATACCTTAGGCTACTTGCCCCCTAGTAAGGCCTTGTCGTGAGTAGGTTGATAATCTAGTACATCTAGGTTTGTCCCTTCTTTCTTTATATGTTGTTTGTTTCTTATTATATTATTTATGTTGTTCCTTTAGTTATATATATGTTATATGCTCCTTTCTTACATGATGTTTATGTTTACTTTATCTTCGGAGCTCAGTTGACCTATGCTTGATGAGTGCCACTTGTTGGAATTCATACTACACTTTTGCATCCTACAGATCATGGTACGAGTTTTCATCGCTGATTTGGTCTCATGCGGAGTAGCTCTTGGGATTTAGAGATTTGGATAAACTTTTGGTGTCTAGATTTGCCTCACTCTCCCTTCGTTTCAGACTAGGACTAGTCTTTATTTTGGTTTCAGAGACAGTCTTGTATTATTGTATTGCTTATGTACTCTCACTACTAAAAAACTGCCAAAAAATGATGGACAGAAAAGCGACGGGCGGCATCGCTCCAAAAAGCAACTCCATTTGCCACACTGTCCGTCACTTTTTAATAAAAATAATTATTTTTTAAATTATTTTACAAAAAGCGATGGACGGCATCTCTTAGTACGTCACTTATTTTCGCGGATTTTTGCGCTAAATATATATATAATTAATAATTATTTATTTAATATATATAGAGATGTCGTCCGTCGCTTTTTAATAAAAATAATTATTTATAAATTAAAAAATAACCACGTTGTCCGTCATTTTTAATTTATTTTATTTTATTAATTAGTTTTTTTAAAAAGCGACGGACGACATCTCTTAGTTCGTCGCTTTTTGGTCAAAATATCTAGTCAAACATTTTAAAAAAGCGACGGATAGTGTCTCTTAGTCCGGCCTTTTTTCGTCAAAATTTTGGTCAAATATTTTTAAAAAAGCGACGGACAAAGAGACAATGTCCGTCTCTTTTTTTAAATTATGTTGAACCAAAAAGCGAGTTTTCCCCCCATTTTCCCATCTCTCTTTCTCTCTCTTCTCTCTTCTCTCCCTTCACTCTAAAACCAAACTGTTGCGCCGCTGCTGCCCCTCGCCACCCCACGTCGCTATCGCCCTTCTCTCCTTGAGCATTAGTCCCATCGCTGCCTTCCCCGTCGGTGCCGCTACCCGTCGTCCCCACTGCCTCTTTTCCTTAGCTTGTTAAGGTTAGGGTTTAATTTATTTTTTTTCAATTCTAGTAATATTTGATTTGTTATAAA